TGATAATTGTTGTCAATTAATATTTGATGAAAATACATGGTTATTATCAACAAATAATTGTTTATTTACAAATGATATATTAACAAAATTAGATAATTTGTCTGAAGCAAATGGAAAATTTCTTAGAGACATTCCAAATATACAATTTTCTGGAATTGAATATGTTATTAATACACAACCTATGTATGAATAATGTTATATTAAATTTTTATATTATGTATCATCATCATAGTCGAATGTAATATTTGAATAGAAGAAGTAGTATAATATTATTATAATAGAATAAAATAAAAGATAACATATTAATTGTTGTTGGGAACATATTTGCACTTATTTGTTTTTTTTTTTGGTCTGAAATATTTGTATATTATTTTGGATCATTTGTTGAAGAAATGAGATTGAAAAAAATAAATGAATAAATATTTTTTTTCATATAAATTTTGTTTTGGAAAAAAAGAACACACTGGAAAGAAAAAGCTGTAGAAATGATATTAATGACATTTGAATACTGTATCATCATATGCCAAGGTTTCAATATAAGAAAGAAACATGTAACATTGATTCATTTGAAGAAATATGATAAAAAAAAAAAAGAAATAATAAAAGAAGATCCTATTGTTGACATATACAATTATAGAGAAAATATTTATCTATTGAAAAATATAAAATAATAGATTTTTTATTTAGATGTTTTTACTCAAATAAATGAATTGTGTGAATAAATTCTATTATTTTAGTCGAATAAAAATGTCAAGATTTATTTTGTTTTTGTTTTCTAACCGAAAAATATCATCTATAATTTTGTTACATTTTTATATTAACAACTATGATATTATCGTAAACTAGAATAATTTCATAATTAGTTTCGAGTCATAATTACATATAATTTGTCGTCTCGTTTTTTTTTTGTTTGTTTTTAATAAACATATGTACAATAAGTTATTAAAACTGTCGTTAAACTTTTCATAACATAAGTATAACAAATAAATAAAACATTAGTTCTCAACTTTTATTTAATAGTAAAGAATCAAAAAAATAAATTCATAAACACTATTAATAGTATATGAATAGTCTGATACTTTAAAAAAATAAGAGTTACGATATAATGAGTCATATTTTTATTCATAGAGAATGCTGATTGATAATATTTCAAATTTAAAAGAAGAAATTATTAACTTGTACTACAAACATGAACATTTCGGTAGAAAAATTTTCAAATTTTCAAATTTTATATGAAATTTCCATTGAAGATAGAAAAAGAATGTATGAACATAAAATATTGCCAAAAAATCTTGTATTCGGACAACCGATATAAATTCTTTTATATCGTAGCTTTGTGACTTAAACCTAATGGAAAGAAAAAAAAACAGTTATTCAGAATTAGATAGAATTTTATTCGCGATATGATTTAGTAACTTTTAAATAGAAACAATTTTGAAGAAAAAAAAATTATGATTAAGTTATATAGAATGTTCAAGAATATGAAATGTTGTAGTGAAAAAGTTTAAATTTACATTATGCCACACAATTTTTTGTTTTGGTAAAAGTCAATCTACATTCTTATAGAATAGAACTTTTCAAGATCTGAAAAATAGATTATTTCATATTTGTATATCTTAACATGGGAACATGTTAATAACAAGAAAACGGAATTTTGATTGTTGAAATTTTTCAAAGACAAATGTTCACAAATATGTTTATATAATAAATTTTTTCCTTTTCTTTCTATGACATGCGTGCTTTGTAGAGACTCTTTAGAATGGTGAAACTCTTAAAATCAAGATTAATTTGTAAGTATGAAAGTTGAGAGAAATATCGAGAAAATACTGAGAGACTCATTTATTCTAACGTAACCGTCAATTTCTTTTTTAAATCTAAAATATAACATAATTTCTGTAATGAATACTCAAATCAAGAGCGAAGGAATGTTTCGAAATTGAATAAGATTCAGCAAAAGTTTATTCTTTATCAAAAAATACCTTCTTATAAATCGTGATGAGGTTAAATAACGAATTTTAGTTGATAAACTCTTTCAGACTATGTAGTGTTTTGCTCTTGTTAAGAAAAAATACTGTGTTCTCTGATTCTGTTTAGTGTCGAAAATATTTCTAAATATGTGAGAAAAGATGAAAATTTCAAGAAAATACAGGAAAAATTTAATTTAAATTGAAAGATCTATCCAGAATATGGTTTATCTTTAGTGTATGCTTGGCGATGCGAGATGTTAGTGTAGGTATGCATTTGAAGAATATAATATTAGCTAGATTTACATTTACACTTAATCTACATCGTCACCTATGATATTTCTATGATATATGAAAAGGATGTAATTTCGTTTTATGAGAATGAATTTCGGGTTGAAGTGAATCACGACAAAGATGATTACTTACTTTTGATTTTTTTCTAATATTATTAAGAAACTATTTTAATAGTCAATTTTGAATTTAGATCATGTTTGTTTTGTACAAAATTTTCATTACAGATTGTTAACAGAATATAAACCATATTATACAATTTTTTTTTGTTTTGACATTATTGTTTATTGATTATCGGCAAGACTAATTCATCTTTTTCAACGAGATGATAAAGTACAAAAGAATTACAACAGAAAAATTTCCTTTAGGAATAAATATTTTTGTTTAATTGAATGAGTTTGTTGTGAATGATTTGTTTTGTTTTTCATGATGATATTCAATTATTATATCGATGCACTAGTGCAGTCCGGTTAGGTATTGGATCAATTTCTCAACAATCACACGAAAACATATTCAGTCATGGAAATTTGATCTCTAGTAACATTTGATATCTAATTATTTAGTCATCAGTAGAACTAGTATACCCATACAATTATATATCTATTTCAAGACTGATCAACATTATCAATAAGTCTTGATGGATTTATGGTTCATTAGAATTTTCGGACAAATTATTGATATTCAATAACTTGACGTATCAATATCAATAGAACTTGAATTATATAGAATCAAAACTTTCTTTTATCTCGACAAATTGTTGAAAGATTATTTAAATTGATTAAAGTAATTTGTTGTTTAGAATATCCTCTAGAATAAAGAAACTATGTTTGATCCATCCTTTCCTTTTTTTTCGTAAAATCTTCAAGAATTTATCTAGCAGATGATTTCGATGATATTCATTGTTTATATTTTAAAATTTAGTAGTATTTCTATGCTGAAAAGAAAGCATTGTTTATCTAATGAGGATTTATATAACCATGAAATTACACTTTGGCTAGCAAGAACTATATATAATGAGGGTATGGGTGTGAGTGTGAGTGGATGTGGGTATCTAACCAATGTTACACCCACACCTACACCCGAGAGCAGGGTGACAAGTACACTGAAGCTTTGGTATTCTAGTTCATATCTGAAATCAGTTTTACGTATATAGTTTTGTTCAGCATTGAATTCTCAGTGAAATGGTATGTGGTTTGACTATCGGATCACATAGATACCCTTTGATATATCGTTATCTCTTGCTTCTCATTGATTATTCATATACAACATATATGAAACACAACTGATATGAATATCATAACATAACAAAACTTCCATATAGACGATTCCATGACAGATGCTCCCGCGGCGGTTGCTGCCAGGACACTTGCTCCCCAACAGCAGTTGCTCCCAGTAATACTTGCTCCTCGGACATTTGCATCCACGATACTTCCTTTCCAGTGACAACTACTTCGCGAATACTCGCTTTCGCCGCACAGGTATGCGTGTGAGTAAGCAAAGAAGTGATAGATATTTACAGTCACCGCATCGGTCACACCCACATCCACAGTCACACCCGCACACTCATACTCACACTCCTATTTGCACCAAGGGTGGAGTGTGCGGGTGTGGATTAGAGCTTGGTTCTATTACAATCACACATATCCATACCCAAATCATACACTCACACTCTCACACGCACACAGCCACGCCCACACCCCACACAACCACATCCACATCCAATTCGCAACTTTTATATGAATTCGTTAAAACATCTTGTAAAATGATAGGTAATTATACTTAACTGCCATCCACAAGACGACGCTTTTTGACTGATTCATAGAAAAATTGCAAATTTTTTCTATACGTTTATTTATTCCTTTCATTTCATTTATGAATGTGTGACAAATATAAATCATATATCGTTCGAAAGAAGAAAAAATTTCCTATCAACTAGTAACAAAAATTTCTTTTTAGAGCGTATTTATAGAACAGAAATAAAGGTCGACATTTTGTACGTTCTTTTACAGAAAAAATGCGGATATGTTTTGAAGGTGTCTCTTTTTTTTATTATGTCGTTCCGTTTACAAACGTATTATAATAATAAATTATATGCGATTCGAAAGAGGAGAAAAAGCTTTATCTTTCGTTTAAAAGAAGTTTTCTTTCAGCACCTGTCTGTCGAAGAGAAATACGGATCAACATTTTATGTCATTACTTTTGCACCATACATTATATTAAGATATTATTAGATCAATCTTAGAATATTTTAATAAAAAACGAACATTTCTTTTTTTTCTTCATGTGTTATTGCGATATAAGTGCAAAAAAATAATCGAACTATAACTTAGAAAAGGATCGTCATCAGTGAGCCATTTTGATCTATAAGACCAATTCTTGCCAAGAAGTATTGCACCGATTATTTCTCATGGATAAACAAAATTACCACATGGTATATATTGGGTCACACTGATGTATTGAGGACAATTGATAAAAATTGAAAACAAAATTAACATCAATATTAATAAAGATAGACAAATTAGTATGTCGAAGAACAGACATAATTTTTGAAGATGTCAGCATTTCGAAAGCTGTCCATTCAATGGTTAACATCGAGAAAAATGTTTGAACAAAAGTAAACGTATGTAAATTAATCATTCGAATCGATAGATGAAATATTGATACAGAAAAATGAGTTTTGAAGTCACTGCCACCTATTTCTATGTGTAATTGACCTAATGTTTCGAAGAGCGGTGCTGTTGACATAAGACGAATTAACATATCTATACTGCAGAAACAAAAACGTAGATAGGTAAGAGGACCTAATGCAGTAGTAATAGGCCAACATGTTCTGTAATATTTCATATCTAAATCGAGAGATCGAAATGCAGGTAAATGAATAAAAAGAATATTATTTAACAACATCGCCATATCACCTGTTGGATAATCGAATTCAATCGAAAAACCAGTATATAACTATCATTGAATTGTGACTTAAGACTAATTCTAACTAATTTTTGGTGAAAATGAGACTCGGAGTAGCAGTATTTTGCTTTAATAATCTATTGTCAATGTAACGTTTCTATTTAAAGAACTTCTTTATAAATAGTTAAAATCAGGTCTTTTAATATTCTACAAATTCATAAGAAGTTTTCTCTAAACAATTTCTTATGATCGACAAAAATTCTTCAATCTCTTGAAACGATTTTCATTCTATTGTGTTACATAATGTTGAACGAAAAGTATATCATTCGATGTTTTTATCTCATAGAGATTTTCAATATATTATCAAATTTAAAAATACAACTGTTCATAATACTAATTCAAATAAAATATTCTTGAAATATATTGACAACAAAATTGTTGAAAAATTAAAACAAAGGATAACTTTTGTTCGATTTAATGAGATACCTTCATTATATCACTAAACATTCTTTTTAGTCATTTTAGAAAGATCTTTTCATATCAAATGAAAAAAAATCAATTTTATATTTGAATATCTCAATGAAATATTATCCATTATGGTGTTTCTATTGTAATATTCACAGTTTTAAAATGATTTTTCATCGCATACATATGTATGTTTTCACGGTATAGCTTCTAAAAGCATTAAACTAAATACTTTTTCTTTACGTATTGTATTGATCATTAGAATTTCTAGGTATTTAAATTTTACTGTACTTTTATAAAAATTTCTTTTTTTTTAAAGTGATCTCGTTTTTCTTATAACTAAACGAAGAATCAATCTAATCTTTCATAAAGCTTCCAACATCTTCTATTCTAGTTTTGTTCGAATTGAAATTTTTTTTTATCAACTAAAGGATTTATTTTCTACACAATGTATTTACAGTGACATGATTTTTGTTAGAATGTGTTTTTTTCTTATTTTCATTTAAGACATTGCGAACAAATTTTAAAATAAAATAACTATTCAACATTCTTAATCTTTGTTTTCAAATAATCTCGTTTCTTTGTAAAGCTTTGTATATATTCAAATAAATCATTGATACTTACTGGTATCAATGTTTTGTTTGTTTTGATGATAAGATGCGTGAGTGTAGCTTCATGAAGCAAAAGAAACAATGTAAGACCATCATAATTGTATGCAGCAATGATATGCAGAGTTCTCCAACGCGAGGTAAATAAGGCTAACGAGTTAATTGAAGTGGAGATGTATCACTGTCAATTACGAGTGATTGAATATCATTCAATGGAAGAAAACAAAGAATTTTATACAATTGATAATAATATGTAATTGATAATTTAATATGAGAAAAGAAGTCTCGTTCAGTTATTAACATTGTCAAACGATGATAAAGATGAGTAAATCCCCATAGAATGTCGATGGACGACAAATATGAGAACAACTCGATCAATATTAAGTCTGATAGATCATCGCAAACGTGTAATCAATGCCATATATTGATTTAAACGACTATTTGTGCATTTTTTCATAGTTATACTCTTGTTTTTATACTCCCTTGGATACCTAATGTTTACAATATTTCTTCTTGATACACGAATCTTTTGCAAATTCACTAATGGAAAATAAACTAGGGTGTGTGGATGTGGTTGTTGGTGTGGGTATGGGTGTGGGTGTGTGAATAATTGTCTACACCCACCCAGCCATCTTTGTTATTCGATTTTCTTTGATAGAATAAAAATGGCAGCTGCTCAACCTGATGAAGTTCCGTCACTTGTCGTCGTAAATGGTATTGCATCAACTTCACCTTCAGAAACAGAAAGTCAACCACCAAATATACCACAAACACCACAAAATTCCGATGCATCTTCATCACCAAACTCAAATAATAACAATGCAATCCCATGTGACAAAAACCGGATCAGTTTTAGCAGTAAACCGCGGTTTACCGGCGAAAACCGCCGGTTAACCGCGGGTCACCATTAAAACAAACCGGTTAACCGGTAAGGAGCCGTTAAAGCGAGAAAAACCGCCGGTTTACCGAGATTCTCTCCGATTAACCGCAGTTTTTCTATCTGAAGGAGCCGGTAACCGGACCGGTAAAACCCTGGTTAACCGCTGGTTTTTGTCCGGTTTTCATCACACGGGATGCAAGTAATAACTCAGGAATTAAAAGAAGTAAGTAAGAAGGACATAATGAATAACCGTATGATTATAACGAACGATCAGATGATTATTATGAACGACAAATTGTTTTGTACTCCAATGGAGATGCTTGGTTTTATGGTAAGTTTTATCGACTATTATATACGAAAATAATTTATCTGTTGTTTTAGGTTATTAGCGGGTGCCCCATAATAAATGGCCGGTTTTCTCATCAATGAAAGTATATAGGGTTATCCATATTTTCCATTTATCTATACATCATGTATTTGGACTGTTCAAGACCTACATAAATACAAAAGATCAGCTGTACAAGTGCTTTTTAGATTTAATTTAAATATGAAGTCTAAGGATATACGAAAAGTAGTACTGCGAATGACTGATGATGGAATGTCATCACTACAAATTGGTAAACAACTACGAAAGGTGGTCAGTGAGCGAACAGCCAGACGATGGCAACATTCATATAGAAGCACCAGTACAATTGACTTGGAAACACCTGCTGGTAGACCCAGAATTATACGAACAAAAAATCTTATTCGAAAAGTCAAGAATAGGTTTATTTACAAAAGTCAACAAAGTGGAAGGAAACTAGCTAATTCACTTGGTATTTCGAAGGGGACAATCAGTCACATTATTCATGACGATCTTCATTTACATGCTTATCATGTTACAATTGAGCCAAATCTAAATTATGAACATGAACAACGAAGAGTATCATTCGCATATTGGGTACGAAAGTCGTTAAGAAAAAAAGATCGAGAAAAAATCTTATTTACTGATGAAAAATACTTTGAATTAGATAACATTTTCAATCGTCAAAATGAGCGTGTTTATGCTCCCTGTCGACAAGATGCCGATGAACACAAAGGAACAAGGCCGACGGCCAAGTTTCCAAAAAGAATTATGGTATGGCTTGCTGCATCAAAGAATGATCTTTCACTTCCAATTATTTTTGAGCCCAGTGAAACATTAACACAGGAAAATTATATTGAAATTGTTCTGCCACATGCACAAGCTGAAGGTCAACGACTCTTATGTGGTGATTTTATCTATCAACAAGATAATGCAACCCCACTCAAGCACAAAGATTCAATAGCATGGATTAAGAAGAACTTTCCTAGATTCATTGATGAAAAAAAAATGACTCCCCAATAGTCCAGACCTTAACGTTCTAGACTATTATGTGTGGGACGCTATAGGTCATCATATGCATTGGAATAAAGTCAACATTATAATTCATTGATTGATGAAAAAAAAAGGTATAAATCGTGCACCGAAAAATGGTATCGTTCGCAGTGTTCAAAACTGGTCAAGCAGAATTTTTTCTATTTTAAAAACAAAAGGTGCTTATATTAGATAACATTTTTTGTGCAGGTTATAGTAGTAACTATGCTGTGTGTTATGCGATACTTTGATTTTAAATAAAGCTTGTCAGATACTATAAAGATTAAGAGCAAAAACTGGCCATTTATTATGGGGCACCCGTTACATCATTATCAGTGATAGTGATTTGCATCAAAAAATAGGTCTATTTGTTGTGTTTTTTTTATCATATATAAAAAGTAATATTCGATATTGAATACATCTGAAAAAGTTCTATTTCAAATGTTATTGTCTAAAGGACTCCACCGGATAAGATCGTAAATCTGCCCCCCCCCCCCATGTTTCACTTTCAATAGGTTAGATAGATAGAGCATGAAATTCTGTATATTTCAGTGTATTTATTTTGCTTTTTGTTGAATGCAAAAAAAAATTTTCAAAGACAAAATGGTCTTGGGGGGTATATCAATTTTGGGTATTTCGAACAATAACTATGATATCCATAACTTTTTCTTTTGTAAGTCTAATACGAGAACTAATAGTGTAGATCGATGCAGTTTTTCATGCTCTGCAAAATGATATATTGATCATGTTTACTGAAATTTCTTTTTTAGATTATGCAGAGTCAAACAGGTACCATAGGTACGACTCTTATATTAAATAGGCAACTTTGGTGGAGTATTATTGCATTTAAAAATCGAATTCGACAAAAATCTCACTATGATCAAAAAGTCCTCCGGCTCACGCTCTATCGATCTATGTGGTTTTCAGAAAAATTAAAGTAGCTCCGAGGTTCATTTTCATCGAAACTTAGTAAAAAAAAGTCTCCGTTTTGAGATATTATACAGTCAATGTCGACCTTCAATCTTAGTATTATTTCAATTTCAGAGCAAAATGAATATCATATTCGAAATCAGCACTAAAAACTACCCTATATCATATGGTTTTTGGCATAAATAATTTTTTTACAAAAAAATCGATGTGGTTCCCTCTAGGATGAATTTTTCGAGACAAATGTTTGTGCTAAAAACCCTATGATATAGGGCAGTTTTTAGTGCTGATGTCGAATATGATATTCATTTTGCTCTGAAATTGAAATAATACTAAGATTGAAGGTCGACATTGACTGTATAATATCTCAAAACGGAGACTTTTTTTTACTAAGTTTCGATNCTCACACCCCCACACCTACCCCCACACACCCACACCCCACACCCACCCCACGCACCCACACCGACGCCCACACCCACACCCACATATTGATTCTCGATGTGCATTACTTGTGGATTATGCTATTCGATAATTCAAATAAAAAGTATCCCAGTTTTTCTTTTCGGACAGGGAACTAACGAGTATTGTGCATAAAGATGCCTGTTATTGTCAACAAACTATTTTTCTTAGTATTGATCACATTAGCATTTGGATAGAAATTGTATTATGTCGTTTAAAGAAAAATACAGTTTGTTCTAAGTAGAAAATATAAATTTTATTTGTGTTCATGAAAAAAGTGTAATATATTGAGCATTGTTGATTGTTTCTTCGTTAAGTAGAGGACCAGTGCTTTGGTACGGATTCAGAAAATGCTGTCATCAAAATTCATATTCACAACCACATCCTGATTTCAACAATCATAAAAAAAATGTAAATTCTTCGATTAAACTTTTTTTCATTATTCCGAGAAAAATAAATGAAGGACGCAGTTTTTTATTTACAGTGTTTGCTACATAAATTTTTGTCGTAGAGATGATTGAAATTCTGAATTAGCAACGTTCTCTTTCTTTTACAAGGTTTCTATTGCAAGACTTTCAACAAAAAAAATGCAGGGTTGGATATAGACGACGAGAAGAATCGTAAGAGAAATGTAATATTTTTCATTTTCTCACGTAATGGAGTAAACATAAAAAGGAAGAAAAAGAATATTGAAAGCATAAGTTTGCAGTCGAAGTAGACGACATCAGTGATTATTAAAGTGAGACGCCGTTGTTACTTTTTACTTTATGGGGTGCGGAAGTAGCGCGGCTGCTGTTGCTGCTCCTGTTCAAAATAGACCTGAGATTAACACCAATAATCAACAAACCAGAATACCAAGCGCACAAAATAATGTTGTGCAACGAATACCGAGTTCTTCATCTGAGAAAAGTATTAGGAAAAGTACAACAAGTATCCATTCTCAGAAAAGTATAAGAAGTATCAAATCTCAAAAAAGTACAACAAGTATTAAATCTCACAAAAGTGCTACAGTTATTAAACCATCGACTCCACCGAAAAAACCAAAGACTCCATCAATACATTCGGAGTATGAAACTAATCAACATCTTGTCATTATTTGGGTGGATCCGAATATAGATCAATCAAAAAAAATATATTTTGATTCAGTGACTAAACTTCAACGCATTACATCTGCTGTCTATACGTGCAGTGATTCTGAACAATGTATAAATTATATTGATAATATTGATGACAAAAAGATATTTCTAATTGTATCGGATGATTTGGGCGAAAAACTCGTGCCTCTCGTTCATGATAAGCCACAAATCGACAGTATATATATATTTAGCCAAGTAAAACGACAAAGATTAACTTGGGCAAATAAATGGTCTGAAAAAATAAAACACATCTTGTTTAATATGGAAGATATTTTTCAAAAGATTAAATTTGATAGCGGAATGGTCGGTAGCTTAACTTCAATTAGTATTATACGCAGAATAGATATTCCTAGCTTAGTTGGAAATGAATTAGATCAATCATATATGTATACACAATTGCTCAAAGAGATTCTGCTCGAAATGAAACATGATTATACATCAAAAGTCAAATTAGTTGAATTTTGTCGAACACAATATGCTGATAATATTCTTCAATTAGGTTTAATTGATGAATTTGAACTAGAATATAATAATGAATTAGCCATTGAATGGTATACAAAAGAATCATTTCTTTATGCAATGTTAAATCGAGCTTTACGAAATCAAGATATTGAAACGATCATGAAAATGGGATTCTTTCTACAGGATCTTCATCAAAGAATAGTATACATGCACACTCAACAATCAGAAACTCGTGACAATAGAAAGTTTACTATTTACCGAGGACAAGCCATGACATCTGATGAAATAGAAAAGGTAGAAGCGAGTCAGGGTGGTCTTCTTTCTTTCAATAATTTCTTGTCAACGACTCTCGATGAAAAAATTGCGATTCAGTTTGCGGAAAAAGCATATAACAACCCACATGTTATCGCAGTTTTATTTAATATTGAAATTAATCCAAAGAATTCATCAGTTCCATTTGCATTTATCGACAAACAGAGTACATACAAATACGAGAGTGAAATGCTTTTTTCTATGCATACTGTTTTTCGAATTTTGGGTGCACAAGAGATTAAACCACGGTTTTGGCAAATCAATTTAGCAACAACCAGTGACAATGATGAACAACTTCAAAAGCTTACTGATTACTTTCGAAAAGAGATCGAAGGAAGCAGTCCTTGGGCAAAATTAGGCCATTTAATGCTTAAAATGGGAGAATTTAATCAGGCTGAAGAATTATACGCACCACAGCTTCATACAACAGATGAGAAGAATTGGCGACAACATGCTCATCTCAATCATCAGCTTGGATATATCTATGGTGAAAGAGGTGATTATAAAACTGCACTTTCCTATTATGAAAAAACACTCAAAATCGAATTGGAATTTCTTTCTCCTGACGATTCTTCGCTTGCTGTGACTTATAATAATATAGCATCAGTACAAAATTCAATGGGAAACTATTCATCTGCACTTGAATCATATCAAAAGGCACTCGAAATAGAAGAGAAATCTCTTCCTTCTGATAATCCTACACTAGCTACAACTTGCAGTAATATCGGTTTAGCATATAAAATATTAGCAGACTTTAAAAGTGCACTTTCATTTTATCAAAGGGCACTAGAAATTCGACAGAAAACACTTCCACTCAATCATCCAGATTTTGGAAGCATATATGCCAATATTGGTGGATTGCATCAAGACATGGGAGACTATTCAACGGCACTGGATCATTATCAGAAGGCAGCTGATATTCAGGAAAAGTATCTTCCTCCAAAGCATCCAAGTTTAGCCACAACATACAGCAATTTGGGTTCTGTTTATAGTTCGATGGGCGATAAGTCGAAAGCACTTGAATATTATCAAAAAGCTTTTGACATACGAGAATTATCACTTCCTACTAATCATCCAGACAAAGCAATCAGCTACAATTGCATTGGTTCAGTACATGATTCAATGGAGGATTATTCCAAAGCACTTTCATACTTTGAAAAAGCACTTGAAATTCAACAGATAGCTTTTCCAGAAAATCATCCAGATTTTGCAAATACTTATAATCACTTGGGCTCGGTCTATAGTTCAATGGGAGATAAGTCAACTGCCTTGTCATACTATCAAAAAGCATTCGAAATTCGAGAACGTTCACTGCCGCCAAAGCATCCTGATATAGCTAATAGTTATAATAACCTTGGTACAATCTATAGTTCTATGGAAAAAAAACAGGAAGCGTTATCGGCATATGAAAAATCGCTCGAAATCAAACAAAGTTGCCTGCCTGTAAACCATCCATCTCTTGTTACCACATATAACAATATTGGTTCAGTATATCAATCCATGAAAGATTATTCTACTGCGCTTTCTTTCTATCGAAAAGCATATGAAATTTGTGAAAAGAATGCACAACTCAGCGGATCGAACGAAATAGCTTCTACTTATAACAAAATTGGGTCAGTACATCATTCAATAAAGGAGTATGCTACTGCTCTTTCATATTTCCAAAAAGCACTTGAAATACAAAATAAATCTGCTAATCCTAATAACCATAATTTGGCTATTACATACAGCAACATTGGTTTAGCTTATCATGAGATGAACGATTATCAAAAGGCACTTTCACATTATGAAGAAGCTCTAGAAATCGAACAAAAATCGCTTCCTGACGATCATTGCGACTTAGCTACGTCATACAACAATATTGGATTAGTGTACGACTCAATGAAAGAATATGCAAAAGCACTTTCATTCCATGAGAAAGCCCTTGCTATTCGAGAAAAAAAGAAGTCTTCTAATGATTTAACACTTGCTTCGACTTACAGCAGCATAGCTTCAACATATCATGAGTTGAATGATTACCCGAATGCCATCGAGTTTTATAAAAAATCAATCGAAATCCGGGAAAATTCTTCTTCTGAAGATGATCTCAATCTGGCTATCAATTATAATAACATTGCCGTCGCTTATAGTTCAATGAATGATAACTCAAACGCTCTTCTGTTTTATCAAAAAGCGCTCGCAATTCGACAAAAGAAACTTCCAGCTGATGATCCATCATTGGTAACTCTCTATACCAGCATTGGGTCTCTATATTATACAATGACAGATTACTCAAATGCAATTGTTTTTCAAAAGAAAGCAATTGAAATTCGAGAAAAATCTTCTTCTGAAGACGATCTGAATTTAGCTATTAATTATAATAACATTGCTGTTGCTTATAGCTCAATGGATGACAAATCAAATGCTGTTCTATTTTATCAAAAAGCACTGGCAATTCGACAAAGAAAACTTCCAGCTGATGATCCATCATTGGCAATACTCTATACTAGCATTGCATCTTTATGTTATTCCATGAATGACTTTCCACGTACGATCGAGTTTTATACAAAATCAATTAAAATTCGGGAAAAATCTTCTTCTGAAGATGATCTTAATTTAGCTACCAATTATAATAACATTGCTGTTGCTTATAGTTCAATGGATGACAAATCAAATGCTGTTCTATTTTATCAAAAAGCACTGGCAATTCGACAAAGAAAACTTCCAGCTGATGATCCGTCATTGGCAACTCTCTATACCAGCATTGCATCTTTATATTATTCGATGAATGATTATCCACGTGCGATCGAGTTTTATGCAAAATCAATTGAAAGTCGTGAAAAGTCTTCTTCTGAAGGCGATCTTGATTTAGCTACTAATTATAATAACATTGCTGTCGCCTATAAATCAATTGAAGACTTGACTAATGCTCTGAAGTTTTATGAAAAAGCACTTGCGATTCGAGTTCAAAGGTTACCATGGAATGATCCATTACTATTCCCACTTTATAGCAGTATTGGTTCCATACATTCATCGAATGGTAATACAGCAGCTTCAGTTGAGTTTTATCAAAAATCACTTAAAATTCAAGAAACTTTATCATCACCCAATTACTCCTCGATGTCAGTGATATATTACAATACAGCACTAGCGTATGAAAAGCTTCAAAACTATGAAGCAGCTCTCAAACATGCCGAACGTTCTCTCGAAACTGCTCGCTTAGCTTTCGGTCCTGATCATTCAAAAGTGAAAGAAAATCAAATGCTAGCGGATAGACTTCGTAATAAACGATGAATGAAGTCTTTTCGTACGGAATGAGAAATGACTCTTCTTACATTTTGCTTTGTTTGATTAAAAAAATGTTATCACACTTTTTCATCGAATGATTTAATAAAATTTGAGACACTTATTGACGTTGTTGCTCTGTATAGATATGCATTGGCGCTGACAGTTCTTTATCTGGTAAAAGTTTCGCCTCTTCAGAAAAAGTATATGTAACTTTGTTTATCTGAAATACTTTTAACAAGATAATTCACGAAAATTGCGTATAGAATAACAAAGATGAATACTAAGGTATAAGAACGAAATGACTCTATGACAAGGTTAGAAGTTCAAGAATAATTTTTCATAACTTTTGAAACGAAGCTTTGAAGTGATATTGGTAATCAATTTGTTTGTCGTTTGGAGCAGAGGTCGATTTAAAGTTACCGTATAGATTGATGCGTGAAAACTTCTTTCCTCAGATCTGTTAGGTGTTTATATTTTTTGTTTCATGTTGCATTATGATTTGGACCATATCTTTTGTAAGAGAATATTGTCTCAACTACTTTGATATGCCATGTAATCTACACCTCATAGCCACACATAAAGGATTCTTATATATGAGCAAACGGTACCATCCCATGTACGATACTAGTGGATAAGCTTATGACTACCTTGAATCTTCAAAACGTCTGACTAATGCTTTGAGCCCAGAGCCATAAAATCCTGACTGATATTGTTCTAGCACCTTTGGCTTGAAAACATTACTGTTTTGAATATGATTATTAGCCACAGGGAGAAAAGATGGAGACTATAGATGAAATTTTAAGCAATGTCTGGGTGTATTCGAATGGTCTATACAAAAAATACACATTTATACGTTCAGCACTTAGCACGAATGTAAAAAACGAACGAACGAGAAAAAAAGAAAGTCATAATTTGATCAGCATAGTTTATCGATACTTTGTTTATGTCAATCGCCTCAGCAAAACATGTATCACTGTTAAACAATCTAATCTGACATTCATTCAAAGAAACTATTTAACAGAAACATCCACTTCTATCAGAAACCTAGTTCGGCATTACTTTCACATACTTTTTTTGTTACCAAAAGCACAGATTCATAAGACGTATCGAAAATGTGCTATCGCAGCAAAAACTAACGTACATTTAATTCAAATGAAAAGAATAGTATAACAACAAAATTTGAAATATTTTTTCATGAAGTTGTATTACCTGAACTTTGAAGTTTATCTATGATTTATATATCATATGATATAGTTAAATTTATATTTTCTTGTTATTTATAGATCACTGAAAATAAGCGTAGATAGTATTTTTCACGTGAGAAAAACAAAGGAAGAAAAATGAATTAGCGTGCACGGTCCTCTTTGTTAGGCTTTGTTTTACTAAACTAGAGAAAAAATATATACCGATGAAAACTTCATTTGCATGATTGTACTGTGAACCTTGCTTATCAAATAGATAGCTTTGTGTAGATTTTGAAAAATTAGATAAAAATAAATAAATGAAACGGATCGTAAAACCTTTTGTTTTTATTCATGATTCAAGTAACACTCAACCAATTGACTGAATTTCTATGAATTATTTGAATGATATTAGAATCAATACATTGAGCCATATTACCAGATTTATTTAACACAATTGTTGGTATGGATTAGGGTGTGTCTTTTATAGTAAACCTCAAGGTTTCTTATTTGCATATGCATTTTGATCAAGTAATATGGGAAGGCGAATGGATAAGTATTGATTCATCAGAGAATTATTGTAATTTTATTGATTATCTTATCACAATTTGAAAAAATTTACTGGCAGAGAGTCTTAACTAGGATATGCTTAATAAAAGTATTACTTGACAACTTTGAAAATTATAAATATGTTTATGATTGGTTCGTTCTAATTTTTACAGTATTACTGAAAATTTTTTCTTCTTGAATGACAGTCATCTTCTCCTCAAGAAAATTAAAATGCTGCATGTCATATCCAGATAACTGCCTGAACATCAAAGTTCACTCTTGTGTCAAAATATTCCTTAAAAAAATTTGCTAAAAGTAAAAATATGTTTACTTCCTTTTTCTAGCGACATGAAATGCATTTGACATACTAAACTATGTAGACAATAGTTGGAAATGGCACAGTTGTTTTGCATGATGTAAAACAGAGTTCTTTAATAATACTCTTCTAAGAATATGTTAATTGTAGCACCTAATTAATCAACAGTAAGGCCACAACTTTCTTTTTTCTGATAATGGCAAATTCTATATTTTGTAAGTGTTATTTTGCCAAATATATCAGTGACAAATTCCAAATAAAATAGAGGCATATTGCATTGTTGGAGTATATTAGCAAAAAAGCGAAAGATGTAATGAACGGAACTATATTATAAAATTATGATTGTTTATTGTTTTAACTTTATAAGTTCTAATAATCACTTTTACCATAAATAATAGCAAAACTGTTACTCTTGTAGTTTCTTATTTATGATTATATAGTACTCGTTTAGATTGGATGTAAATATTAACATAGTAATTCTACAACATGAAACTACCTCCATATCTAAATTTATGAACTGTGTGTGTAACAGATATAAGAAGCTTTAATCATGCGGAAATTTAGAATTATATACATATTAGAATGAAGATGGCACACACGACAATAAAATAATCACATTCGTATAGAATAAATGGATTATTTAAAGAATTGAACTAACCATTCAGTAGTTTAGCATTGTCTTTATAAAAGATATCAAACACTATAATCATTCATTAAAGTTTTTATTGAAATTTGGCCTCATAAAGTAGCATTAATGAATATTACCCGACTTCAAAATAATTGAAGTCATAGATAAGTTATAAATTTGACACAATCAAAACGATACGAAGTCTATACAAATATTGACTGAATATTAATTAATTAATGAAAAGCTGGCAATGATAACTGTTATGAAACATGCAAAAAGGTTATGAATATACGTAGAATTACTGCAACAATTTGTGTATGATAACTTGTACCAATCATTGTTGAGCAATGCTTCAATTAGATATAATTTGTTGTGTAGAAATAGAAGTTCATCAACAAGGAGAAAGTAAAAAGTGTGGCATGTTTTACTGTTTGACAAGGTAATATAATAATGAGTTTTTTTTGACTAAATGCTTATAGCACTCTTTGCAGATGACATTATCTATATTTTCTTACAAGTAGCTAGATTTTCTTTCCATAAATGTTCTAATAATAGAAAATAATACATCAGAGATGACACTTTAATCTCAATTCAAAGATTAAAGAACTTTTGATTATTTACAACATTCATATTTAATAGTAGAAGGATACTTTGATCTTTAATTTGAATGGTCGAAGATTTCTTTAACATCAATTAATCTGTAATATTGAAAATTGAAGCAGTCGTTATTCATTTATACAAATGAAAGAAAAACATAACGACGTAATAATGTACTTAAGTCAAAGTTTGCTAAACGTTTTTCGAGAGTAGAATTCGAATTAGAGAATCAACTGATTAAAAAACGAAACGTAACTCCAGATTCGGTACATCACGAAATTTTCATAATTTTCTATCAGATAAATCGAAAGTTGTACGCTTCCCATTGAGCAAAGTTGAGATCAATATTGTCAACCGAAGTATAAGGCTCTCCTAGTAGAAATTTAATAAGATTAGTAGATATAGATCAGTTACTGATTACTTTCAAGCAATTTCTTTGCCTTGTCAATACCAGTTTGCAAATCAGTAACAAGGTCAACAGTAAATTCTAATGTATCTTTTTCTAGCAACCCCATTGCTTTCTCGTAATTTTCTAAAGCATGAATGCAGTCATTTTGATTCAAATGAGTATTACCAATTGCTTTATATATAGGTGCAAGATTTGGATGATCCGGTGGTAGATAAGTTAAGCTCATTTGTAATGCCTGATGGTAATGATCTAAGGCCTTGGTGTATTCATTTTTGCAGGTATAAATATCAGCGAGACCATTATGTAAACGTACAAGACGCCGAGGTTGACTGCAAAAATTAGGATCCTGGAATAATGCTAAAAGAACTTGCTCAGCACGTCTATATTCTTCCATGTCTATCAGCAATTTACCCAAAAAATAGGCTTGATTATTGTGTACTTCAGGATTTCGAATAGGTGCTAGAATATGAAGTAGTTCTTGATCATTGTTATCAATTTGTTTTAATTTGACAAACCATAAAATCGTAGCACCATTCATAGTTTCTTCTACAGATTCAATACGAAAGACGGTACTCGAATAAAAGCAAATTTCGTCTTTGTTCATATCGGCATCTTTGAGCAAAGCAAATGGATTTTTTTCATTTAGCAGTGTGTGATCGATATGTATTTCGAAAACAATACCTGTCATATCAGGATGAATAGCAAGTCGACGATCAACGAAATCAATAGCAACTTTTTTATTACGAGTAGCGATAAGAAAATTAGTAAACGAAAGAAAACTACCACATTTATTCTTTATTGTTGTATTAAAGTCAACACATGTCATGGTTTTACCACGATAAACGATAGATATTGTTTCAATTAGTGATACATTTTCCTTGTATAATCGATTCAGTTGTAAATTTGCTTGTTTAAGAATAAAGCCAAATTTATAGAGTATATCAATCTCACGTGTACGTTGTACGCGATTCAATATTTTTGAAACAAAACATGGCTGTACTAACCACCAGAGAATTTTATTTGGACGATAATCTTTTGAAAACTCATCTATTAAACGCAATTGTTTATCAATATTTACATAATGTAGTCGACAAAAATCGACTAAAACGTCTTTCGAAGAACTTTCGAATTTAAGACGAGAAGCAATTTCATTAATCATTTGACCAAAAATAAATGATGCTTGTTGTTTAGTCAATACGGACGAGAATAAAATATCTTGTGATGATGGTGATACAACAGAAATTGGTATAAGATCCACTTCACATAGTTGAACATCTTCTTCGAGTTTTTTATGAAGATTATCAATATTTCGAATAATGTCATATTTTAAAGTTCGATAGTTTACATCATTTTGTTGTTGAAATGGGTCGAATATGAATAGTTTCTCAAGTTGTGATAAATTTTGAAAACATTCAAGTGTTCTATACGTACCCGATATTATAAGAAATACCTTCTCATCTTGAATATTGTTTATAAAAGTAACGCAAGCATCTATATTATTAAATATTTTGAGTCCATAAACGAGCTTTTGTAAATGTTTTATTTCATTTTCGAATTTATTCGAAATTTCATCACGAAACCAAATGACAAAACAACTTTCAAGAAAACGCATTTTCTGTAAAGAAGTTGTTGTCATCGCCAAAGATTGTTCATGCTTTGATGATAAATGTTTCGGTGGAATGCCCGAGATCACAGCTTTAGTCGACGAACAACCCATTCTAAAATCACGATTTTAATTTACGTAATTCTGAACTAATAGCTATTTCCTTTCTAAAAAAGAATGGACATTATGTAAAAATCTGCTATATGATTGGAAACATTCGGAAAGATAGACAATACACGATGTAGTAAATTTTATTATTATAAATCATTTGCATGAATAAAAATAAATGAAAAATTTTCTGTAATTTAATATCTTCATCTGTTTGTATGCTACTGCGATTTATAATAAAAATAATGTTCTGATGGCGGTACTATAATTAAATACAATTTACTCCTAGTTCTATTCCCTATAGGTTGTAATAAGCGGTGAATATCCTTATCATTGTAGATAAGTAAAAGATGCGGCTGTATTATTTAAATTTTACATATTTATTACAACCTCACCAGATACTTGCGTAGAAGAAAATAAAAAGGAGAAGACACCTACATATATTGAACTTGGTCTTCGGTGCATTAAAAAATATCTTAAAACAACTAAATCGATAAGGAATTAATAGCAGTGGTAATAACAGTAGCTGCTATTCGACAATGAAAGAAATTTCGATGTTATTTTTTACAACGGAAGAATGTCGTTGTTGGATAAAAATGCAAAAAGAAAAGATTTTCCTTGACTGAGAGACAGCTTACATTCTAGACATTTTCTCCGCGCGACATCACCGATCTAAGTATATGAAAAATGCTCCTATCACAAAAGTATTAAAATATAATTTGATAATGAATATGAAGATTAAATACACAAATAGAACTCATTTAATTATCTTACATTCATTAGATGTGTCATGATATTTAGCTTTTTTCTTTTTCTGAAGAAATTACTTACAGAATAACTTATTATCTTTCCTAATACTAGCAGACATTCACTCACATTACACATAAATCTGACCAATGAACTTGTCCTGTAATATTCTTTATAATGAGGAAAAAAAAGAAAACTACAACAACTATGTCCATTTTTTTCGCTGAATTATAATTCTATAAAGCTAGAATAATTCTGATCAAGTATACGAAAATTATGAATGATCAGTTGCGACATATTTCTTTTTAGAAAACTGTAATAACAAAAAAGTTAATCAATTATGTAGCATGTGATAAATTCTTGCTTTTGTCGTATCATCGTATGTCAACTACAAAAAAATGTTTTCCTAGTTACTTAGACGACTTATTAAACATTTCTCGAAGTGTGAATGGTTTTCAAAAGCTATCATCAGTATTTCTGTTTAACTACTTATATCGAACCATAATTACTGTGGCAGTCAAAATGCGCATCAACTATTTTCAGTTTATTTATTATCTTTATTCTGTGATAAGTGTTAATTGCACTGAAATAGCAAACATTGTCATGAATGAAAAAAATTTCCAGAGAATAAATAAATATATATGAAGTTCACTATTTCTTCCTTCGACTATATAGCATTCGTAGATTGTCCTCCGGGCGCATCTTCATTCAATCGTCATTATGCTACGTTTTCTCTTATTTATTTCTCGTCTAGAAACACAAGGATGTTTTTTCAGTTGCATAACCAATAACAGTCTGTAAAAGTAAGACTGTGAGGACGTATAGTTATAACATTGTCCCGTATTATAATCGTGCATGATTTCATACGAAATAATCCTATATAAATTTCATCCTTTCTCACCATTAGCTATGCATTCATGGTCGCACGGTTGTCTTAATTAATCTGCTTTTTTTCTCTCTCTCATCTGAACATCCATGTATGAAAAGAGAACGAGACAAAAAAAACAAATTGATGGCAGTGAGAGGAAGTGTAATGGTAATTGTTCTCGTATAATTTAAAGTTAATAATAACTATCGTATTCACAGTATCAGCAAGGAACAAGTACCCGGCTTCCCGTTAGTACGAAGCACAAAGTGACTTTGTCCATTGCATGAGGATGACTAATAGTCCTCATTAGCATACTGTTTTCAACGAATACCCAGTGACGAAATATTCGCTTCAAAAAGCGGGAAAGAATGCATTTTTGATCGTTATAGTCTGAACTTAAATTCGCTAGAAGAGTTCTCGAAGAGAATTTCAGTCATCATTCATTGATAGATCGATACCAATGCAACTCAACGAGCTCTATCCAATGTGGTATCCTAATTGTTTGTAGCTCAAGCTGTTATTTAAAAAAATATTTTAAAATTAGTAGTGCCAATTTTAAACTACGGCTGATTCATGTGAGATGAAAGTGTTTATTTCTATTTTTTATTTCAATTTACTTAACAATTATCAAAGAAAAAAATAATGAATCAACTTACAATAGTTGGTAGTTACAACTATAGTAATAACCATTTTAACTTTTTGCTGTTCTTCTCAGCTATCAACTTTTCAAAAAAATATCTTTTAATCTAATAAAAATACAGAAATGTTCCAATTAATCTGTTTGTCTAAATTACGTCTGGATACTAGGACATCTACTATGGAGGTAAGTGGAGAAGAAGAAAAGAAAAACTCAAGATGAAAAAAATAGATGAAGGACAAAACATGAATATGGAAACTTGACATACTAATCGGAATCCTTGTTGTTATTGATCAGTCCACAACGATCCTTTTTAATCTTAAGCTTTAGGTAAGATTTAAGATTCTTTTTAAGAGGAATTAAAAAAAAGAATCTTAACTGTTTGATAAAGAGAAGCCAGAATCTGGAAAGAATTAGAAGATACTTAAAATTAGAATCTAGATAAGACTCTTATAACAGAAAAGAAAAAGGATTCCTCTCTGATATTCAAGACAAATGTCACTTGGTGCCTTTCTGTACATGCATCTATATATTTCAATATTTATATATTATTCTTTTACTTTTTCGTGATGATAGTCATTAATTATCTTCTTCAAACAGTGAGTGGGTTACATGTTAATATCAGATAAATAAAAATATTTAATAGTTAATATATATGTATTAACTCGTATTAGCGAGTCTATTTATAATTGATTTTAGGATTTTCAATAACAATATTAATACAACAACAACTTAG